TTTTGTCAAGTCGGCGCTATAGAAGCAGGGAGCTCGTCCCCTGAGTCCACCTGCGTCTCTGGGAAGCACACGGTCGCTTTTGGTTCGCGTTTTATTCCCCTATCCACCACGTGGGGACGCTCCACGTGCCCTCGCCACTAACCGGGTGGGATCCCTCAAAGAGGGAGGTCCGTGGATACGAAGAATATCAACATATAAATGCATTGAAATATTGCACACACAGCATATTAATGAATATCATTTTTCTCAACCTTTTAATCGAATTTGCTTTTTGTCACAGATATGGACACATTATGAATCTCAAGTTTCTCTGTGGACGACTAAAATTTTTGAATTTCCCATTAAATAGAAAGCCATAAAAGCTAAATTCACCAACGAAATTATCTTTCTTTGAAGGTCAGTGTGAGCTAATTGTTCTCAAATATTTGTTCAAAATAAAATTCACTAGGCGAGGAAAAAGCAGACATAGGGACATTCAGACGTTGAGCAAACTGTGTCATTCTATATGAATGCTCTTAATGATTTCCAAAGAATGTGTGCAAAATGTCCAACAGTGCGTGAAGAAGGGACATGAGAATTTTGGCCTTTTCTTCTTGCAGGCTACACATATAATGTGAATATTTCCTATTATTCCCAAAAGAATCAGCCCTCCTGTTGAATTAAAGCATTTAAATTAAACAATTAATTATGCCGAGTTTCATAGAAAGTCGAACTTTTGAATTGTTAAAATTAAAGAGTTATTATGAAGTGAATGACACGATACAACATGACATGAAACACTCGTTTTAAACTGGTGCTGATTACAAGTGTGTTCGGCAATACTTTCGAATTTGGAGACAAACAAAATTAAGAAAAAGTTTAAAATCGCCGTCACCACGGGGTGATAGTGGTTTATGATCGTTATCGAGAAAATTTCCACGGCGTCACAATTTTTGAATTCAGCAAGGCCAAAGATTAGGTCACCGCGCTTAGTAAACCGATGAATGCGCTCTACCTGAATCCAGTCAATTACATGCAATAAAAGTTATAAAAAGCATGAATAGCGTTCTGTATACTCTTATGGAGTACTAATCTTTAGTCTATTCACCAATTGCAGTTGTGAATGAATACCCATCTCAACGAATTACTATAGAATTCGTCGCGTATACAAGAAATGACTGGTGTGTTACTATAAAGAGCATTTTAGCACATTAAAATAGATATCATGTAGAAAATAGGCAGATATAGTTCTAAGTGAGGAAAAAACTACTGTTAAACCTCTTTCGAATACATGTGGCCTGACAAATCGTTTCCGTGATGCGAGCTAGTAGATAAAGGTCACAAAAATATTTTCAGAAATAAATAAAGCGCAGAAAAGATTGGACTTCTAGGTTCCACTCTACTTTTTCAGCTATACACATGATTAAGTTGAGTGATGCGCTCATGTCCATGTCGACTTCTTCCGACTTCTTTATATGCTGAGTGTAGGGGACATCAGATAGTGGAAAAACATTGGTACAATTTGTTGAGCATGTCCTGTTATCTGTGCCGCATGACAAATCTACTCTAGTAATTTCGATATTTATTGGTATTTCCCACAAGACTTCTACGAAAGTAGTGATCCTTTCGACGGTTGCTTTCGGCGAAAACATTTGGTAACGATTTCAGTTCCTTCATAGCTTCTCACATGCTAGACCGTGGTCCAGTCTGCCAAAAGTCAACTGCGCATCCATTCTCTCAGAGTTGGAGAATTACTACGAGATCTATCTGAGATTAGCTTGCTGCATTCACGTCCACAAAAAATAGTTCCGACCTGTAATGAAGATTCATCAACGTTCTAGAGCATAGATTCGAGGATTCCAGTGGAAATCAACGCTACCAATAATTGCGAAGAAGAACAAGAATTTATCAACGCACAAAAACACAAGCAAATCTCAAGACTTTTCTCCATGACAAATGTGAGGAAGCTAATCAACGTAAAATTGCTAAGATCAACACTAACTGCGATGTCAGGTCGGAATAGAATAGAAAAACATCTCCATTGCTCAAACTAAATGTCAAAGTAAAAATATCACTTGTGGTATAAATTATACATCACCCTTCTTTGTACACTTCTCAGGGAATGAGATCACATACATGCATACACACACACACACACACACACACACACACACAACACACACACCACACACACACAACACGCGCACGCACACATGCACACACACCACACACATAGCATACACACACACTTTTTCTTTAGCACTGAAGTATTTACCTTCTTATTTGAATACTTCAACGATCCTTTTTCGCGAGTGACGCGGACCCCAGCACAATTTCAGCTCGTTCGTTTGTCTCGCGATAGTCGTCCATGGTGGCGATTTGATCGAGCATGGCGGCTCACACAAGTTTCATACCATAATCTCTAGAGCATCGGCAATGTATTACAGCTGATTAATTCTTCTATCGAACATGTCCGCCAAAAGTGTAAGTGGTCGTTTACAGAAACGGGTGTATTCTCATAGAGTCACCTCTATAGTTCGTTTAGTCCATTTCTCATCCGATCCTCTTACTGAGTGGATGACCCCTTTGTGTTTCCCTGTCTAAGAATGTTCTTTTGGATTGCGAAGATATGATAGCTTTCAGAGATTTGAGTCGCGCAAGCCGGCTAGATCTTGTGCATGCGCACTGATTTTTCGTAAGACATCGTTCAACCGCTCTGTGAGTCGTTCGCAGTAGTTCTGACGAGGTCGAACAATCAGCCCACGTCTCTGCTGCATAGAGGAGCTTTGGGATGACTGCTGAATTGAAAAAGTTAGCGAGTAATTCTAGATCCGTTATCTGGCTGATTGCTTCATTAAAGGCCTGAATGTGGCCCACGCTACTCTCCTCTTTTTGTAGACTTCCTCCTTCGTGTCGTTCGCCATATTTAGTGAACGGCCACGGTACACGTTTGAATAGGTTTTTTTTAGAGAAGCATTCAGTTTGATATATTCATCATTGCACCATTAGTTCTATATGAACTAGTCTTCATGCAATTGAACCGGAGCACGATCTTACTCCCCGCTTCTCGGTGCTTTTTTAGTGAGTGACAATGCCATACGAAAAGCAAAAGTTTGACAGAAATTTTTCATAAATGTGTATATCCAGGCATCAAAATGAAAGTAGAAAAATACCAAACTGACCTTTGTTTTTTGAAATGAAAGTTCCTAGTTCCGTTGAACCTAGTGATAATCGTGAACCTAGTAATGACCGTATGAAAATCTGAACGGGTTAATAAAGCAAACAAGTAGATTTCAACGTTCGCTATTGTTGAATGATCAAGAGCGCATATGGCGCAGTGGTTTGAGGTCATCTGCGTCGCACACGAGGCCCATGATTCGACTTCGGACTTTGCTCTCACGGCTCACCATCTCTCTGGGGTCGCTAAACTGGTATCAGACTGGTCTCAGACTTGTCTGAGGATAAGCAGCACTGACTCGGAAGACGACTGCGGGTCATTGTAAAGACCAGATATGCATTCAGTCACCTCAAACGAAATTAAAAATTAAAGACGAATGCATGGCGCATTCCTCAAGAATTAATCAACGCCGAGAACTTCATCCTTTACCTTTTTTTTGTTGATCACTTGACCTGCCTCTTTATAGTAGTGAAGGATAGTGGTCAGATCTGTCCTACAATGCGCAACTTCCCCAGCGCGCCTCCTTTCAAAGTCACCCAAGCGTTCTTTTGAGGTGAAAACGAACATTGGTTAATTTAATAATGTCTACGACCTTACGAATTCGCTCTCTGTTGTACATCTTCGAATCGATTTACATGGATTCAGGCATGAACATCATATTGAATCTCTTCATAAATTTTGACACCAGAGCAGTTAACACCAAATTCACTATCCGCGAACAAAATTGCTTACCAACATTATTCAAAGCCTGCTTCTCAAAAGTGATAATTTGCATGTATCGGACATCTTATTTTACCTTCAGCACCGAACAGCTGACTGTTCTTCTTTAGATTTTTGATAACTCAGGACCACTCTGTCTTAGAAACGTAATTTCAACCCTTCCATTATAAGGCCTTTTTTCTCTTTCTTCAGACTCTATACGATCTCTTTATAGCCTAAATCTCGACAGTTTCAACACTGCATGTTCTCCAAAAAAGCTTTCTAAATGTGCTGTAGCAGTGGAAACATCGTTGAGTTTCACATTCGGTGCGCACAATTACGCGCATCTTCGCGGTGTGTTCGAAAGCTTTTTCCGTTTCATTTAAGTTTGTAGGTTTTGCATATCAGAATTGTAGAAGAGACTCTGTTCCACCACCGACGGCGCATACTTTGAATAGTGTTGTTAGGCAAGAAAGAGTCTTTCACAGCGAACTGAAGTCGATGAAATCAACGAAGTTGAATGGTGAGGCACAACAACCAAATCTGCTGTTGGACGATGGTTCCAACGCTTTAATGACGGAGACCTTGACCTTGAAGACAAGCCTTGTTCTGGGCATTTAATTTCAATCGTTCGATGATGTTGAAAAAGCACGTTAAGAGTTCTTCGATTTGAAGCCGAAGGAATGGTACTTCTACCAAATCCGAAACTTGACGGAGCTATAGCGGAAAGTCGTCGAAGACGATGATTTTAATTCAAAAAATATTCCTATCGTTTTTGTTTGGAATTTAAGCATAAATTTTCAATTTTTTACAAGTGGCCCAAAACTTCCCTTCCAACCTAATATCCCAGTAGTTGAAAGGACTGACTTAAAATCATTTGCTTTAGCAGTAATATGAAATTATAACCATGTATCCAAAAATGTTAGGCGATATTGAAAACTCTGAACCTTAGGCTAGAGACGTTTCTACGTTTCTTGATCAAACTGTTACAGAAAGGAAGTGTTCTGCAAGGAATGACGAGGGCGAGAGGTTACACGGAGAGAGGAGATCGCTGTATATATTTGTGAAACATACTGGGCAGAAGAAAACATTGTTTTGGCCAGGACTCACTTTGTATACTTACGGGAACCTGTTGCAAAACGTTCGCAGCGAGCATGATTCGAACCTACGTTAGCATAGCACAATTGATTACGAGTCAATCTCCTTAATCACTCGGACATCGCTGCACATACATGCGAACGCGAAGCAGTCAATTGAGGCTTACAATTACAGTTTCCGTGCGGATGCGTGCCGCAAGGATTTTCACTGAAGAGAATTCGACAGCGAACAGTCAGAGAACTGTTGGCTTCGAGTCCGTCTCATCAACAACTCGCATATCTCTGGATTGATTTGTGGAGCAAAGTCGCCGATAAAGAACACTGTGCTGATGCAGTGATATGTGCTTACAATAGTATGAGCAGCTCGGGAGAAGTTACTTTTGTGGAACTTTACTAGAAAAACTGTTGTCGATTCTCTAGACCGGTTATTTTCAGGTGCTTGGCTTTCAACAGTATTTGCAGTCGTTTTCTAGTAAGATTTATTTTACCGTGTAGAATTTTTGTTTCCTTCTCTCTCTCTCTCTCTCTCTCTCTCTCTCTCTTTCCTTCTTTTCTCTTTCTTTCTCTCTTTCTCTCTATCTCTTCCCCTCTCTCTCTCTCTGTGTGTGTGTGTGTGTGAATATCATATTTGTTATCTTACGTTCCACAATCCAAGCTAATTACGAACTTCTGATTCGGCAAATACATGTTTATCACTGATTCACCTTCGAAGCTCTATGGTAGCTTGAAGTTTGAAGCTGTTAGACATGTTCACCTAGAATGCCGTACCAATTAAAACTCTATTGAATATACACCGTTCTAATCCTCTTATCATAAATTATCCACGATGATGTTCATTTCGTTGTTCGAAAATGATTCGACTCGATCTTTCGACTTAAACAGTCCCCAGGACAGATTATCGACTAACCTCGACATTGACTTAATAATCCTCGCTCATGGAGACCTGCGACTTGTCTTCGACTCTAAGTGACTGACCTTAGGACAACAAAGCAATGAGCAATAAAAAAAATGTTTACTACGCGCTTAAACATGGCCATATTAAGTTTACCATTTTTAGGTTATGAAAGCGTTTGGCTGAGTACAGCGCATGTTAGTTCGACTTTTCCAAACTGTGAAGAAAGCGCGGAATGTTAATCGCTATGTAATCATTGTGTGAATACCGTTCGTTTCTTTTTTTTTTTCTTAAGACCACCGTGAAATTTCAACGTATCTCATAATTGTAATGTGAGCCTACTGTCATGTGGCCTGTTAATGGGCTCTTGTACAGCCCGATACACGTGTTTCGACCTTCACAGTCTTATCAGTCGGGCTGACCTTCGTCTACTAACCATTTCTCTCGGGGTTCTCCAGTCCCCACACTATGAATAGATGCCTACGAACAATTTACACAACACTGCCGTCAAGTGAAAACCGCTAGTCGGTAGTGTTGTACACTCGATTGGTATTTTGGTATTTTGAAATATATTATACCGTTCGTTTCGAGTGTTTTCCTAAAATCACGCTCAAACTTGGTGATTTTCACTTGACGGCAGTGTGGTGTAATTCGTTCGTCGTCGCCTACTCTTAGTATGGAGACTGGAGCACCCCAAGAGGATCCGCTAAAAGACGAAGGGTTCCGCCCGCCTAAGGAGACTGTCAAGGTTGAATCACGTGTATCATGCTGCACAAGAGCCCATTAATAGACCACATGACAAGTAGGCTCACATAACAATCATGAAGTACATTGAAATTTGGGCGTGGTCATGAGAAAAAAAGAAACGAGCGATAATTACATAATTATTACATAAAGGCTAACGTTCCGCTCTTTCTTCAGAACTTGAAGAACCAAACTGGCATGCGCTCTACTCAGTCAAACAGTTAATAGGTTGAGAAAGAAGTTTCTAAGATAATGCTTTTAACTTTTTTGGATGTCGGCCATTTTTCGTGTTTTTGAGCTCATTTGAAAGCCCCTCTTCTCCGCATGATTTATATATATTTATCTACTTATTTCAAGATGGATTTGACAAGCCAGCAAATTAGGTCGCTGATGATACACGAACTTACATGCCACCATTGCATTTTAACTCAACGGCCATTCGTGTGCCATCTACAACCTAATTTGCTCGCTTATTAACTCCACCTTGAGTAGATAAACTATATACTAAAGAACCGAGAAAAGACGAGCTTCCAAATGAGCCGAAAAACACCAAAAATGGTCAACATCCAAAAAAGGTACAAGCATTTCTCAGACATTTTTCTCCAATCTATTATATGTGATTACCATTCTGTAATCTATAAATATCAATGTTATCGCGTGAGTAGTTTCCAACGCTGTCAATGGAGTTAAGCAAACATCTTGTGTTTTAGAATCGACCTAATGAGAGACTTAGATATTAGTAGAAAGAAACCAGACACATTAGAACTATACAAGAACATTGAGGATATCTCGAAGGCGGTAACGAGCTACCAGATCAAGAAAAAAGTTCCTAACATCCGCGAGAAACTTAAATTTAATGTTTGCTTCACACAGTACCAATTACTGCAAATTCTTGGGAATATCTCAGGAATTCTCCCATACTCCAACCTCTATTGCGGGAAGCCGGACCGCGTCTACGATACCTCAAAGAAAAGTACCAAACATTGATTTGTCGAAAGTGCGCGTTGTTTCAGGAAAACAATGTCAAATCTCACACCGCAAAGAAGTCTAAGGAAAAACCTCATGATCGAGATCTTGCCGCACCCAGCCTTCGATCTAGATGCTGCGCCGTTGTTATGGTCAAGTTCTGCTCAATGTAACATTCCATGATTTGAACATCGATTCGTGATCAAGTTGAAGAGACATATCAGGAGATTTTGATTCAAAGCCCAAAGAATAGTATTTCGAGCAGATCCGACAGCTTGCAGATAATAGGCAGAAGATAGTTCGAATAATGATGGTCATTATTTTGAAGGAAAATCATTGTTGTTTTTGATTCGAGCATGTGGTTGATAAAGAAATTTGAACTCCCAAGCTATATAGCCGGTCGAAAGTCAAAGACATTTCTGTGCTTATTTAAGTGAAACACTCTCGTGAAACATCAGTGAGTCAAGTAATCGTGTGGATGTGGTCTATGGTACTAAATCCTTTTCGGAACTCTGCTTGTTCGCATGGTTGTCCTTCGTCCAATGTTTTGTCAATCCTGGTTAGGATGACTCGAGTAAAGAGTTTATAGACAACGGACAGCAAGCAGATTGGATGATAATTGCCTATGTCGTGAAGGTCTCCCTTTTTGAACAACAATACGGTCTTGCTGGTTTTCCTTTGAATAGGGATCTTGCATTCTAACAGGTAACGAGTAAAGATCCGAGCCACGGTGTTGATGAGAAGTGGCGGCAGGTTTTTCAGGCGTTCTGGTCTAATCCTGTCTGGACCGGGTGTTGTTATGTTCTTCACCGACGATATAGCATGTCGGATTTTGGAAGCGAGGAGTAGTGGAATGATAGATTCATATTTTTTCAAGTTATATGAAAGTAAGAAAACATGGATAGGCGAAGAGATCTAAATAGTACTGGTGGATGGTTTCCTTCATTGCCCTTCTGGAAGCTGTAGGTGCCCCTTTAATGCGTCGGAGTGCGATTATATTGGCCCTGTAATTGGCGAAGATTCGATGGGCTTTATGAATGCTCTTTCCAGCTTCTGCAGCTCTGGCCAAAACAGCTGCTCGTCTTTCTATGAGGCGTTCTTTTGTCGCTGCTCTGCATGGTTTCGCAAGTTCGGGCGTGAGATTGAGGTTGTCTGTGGCTCATGTGATTTCATGTTGACTTATCAGCTCGAATGTTGGAGGAGACAAACTTTTCTTTGTGACTTTAGGACTCTCGGCTTTCATAGCGCTAACATGAAGATGTTTAATTGCCGTTCGTGTCATTACTCGATGCTGCCAACTACGGGATCTTTCCATAAGCCGACTAATGCCTTGAATATATCCCAGTTCATGATATTCTGGGATTCGTTGTTTGAACTTAGCGACTTCTTCTCCCTTCCGCGAAAAGCGGAACGTTGCGCGAAAGAGTGGATGGTCTGACACTGTGTAGAATTTAGGAGCTACAACGACATCGGTCAAGTAAAACTTTCCACTTGCTGGAGTGTGGTCTATTTTCTTATGGTACTCTTCATAGACTCCCAGGTCCACCTCTGAGAGTAAGGCTTTTAGAATTGTGCGTTTCCATGAATGGCATTAGTCGTCATGATATTTCAAATAGCCTCTCTCCCTGTTCGTTCCATTCTAGTTTGTAGATCTCAATGTGACGTTCTTCAGGAGCTCCTCTAGGTCCGATTTTTGCAGCAAAATCTCCAACGATAGCCTTGCAGATTTTATAATCTTCTCTGAAGAAATTTACGAGATCCACATAGGTTCGATTTCGCCATCGTCATAGCCTGATGTTGGTGAGTAAGCAACAAAGATGCTCGAAGACTGCATTGATCCACATCGATTCAACCGTAATCGTCCGATACAGGTTGTTAGTTGTTCAGACGGATCTATGTTCACGGTCAAATTCGATTTGACAAGAACGCAAACGCCACTGAAACCTTTGCGGTCGCATGTTCCAAGAAGCAGCTCTTCTCCGATGTCATGAAAAGCGTGAAATGGATGGCACCACCTCGTCTCATCCAGTCCAGTAACATTAAACCTGATCCCTACATCGGATTCGTATGCAAGTGCTCGTGCATTACAGGTACAGATCGATACTTCAGTCTGCTTTGATTTTGGCGCCCTAGTTTGGCCCTGGGATATTAGCAGTCTCTCCGTACTCGTCATACCGGACATTGCCGTACCGGAGACTCTTTCGGGGTCAGGCCCATTCTACCATTTTAAGGACCATTTCTATTAGGTCATTAATAAAGCCTATTTTTACTGCTGTTTCATACGTTTTTTGCTGTCTTGTAAGTCAGGAGTGCTTCGCGTATTATACGGATGGGATGAGATTCCGACACTCTCCCTAATGAACTTTCATTGCTATTAATTGCGGAAATCACAACCAGATGACTTTTTTGTATCATCGTTTCCGACTGCACTGCATCTCTCATTGTCATCACAGCAGTCAGGTAATTCTCAGTGCTTTGTGCCATGCAAAAAATCATGCGAACAATCTTGCTTCCTAGTAAAAAAGAC